ATATATATATATAGAAGCAATTAATAATTAACCCTGACGTTCCTATGGCTAGGTCACTAAGGCTTACAGGTCTTTAATACGATAAGCTGTATATAGTAAAAATATCACAGTCTTACCGGCACATCGAGGAGAAAAGTATAACGTTGAAAACGTAAGAAAAAGATGCATAAAAAATGCAAACAAATTATTTTTGAATTCAAGTTCATTTTTGTTTATGCTGTACATAAAAAAAGCAATTTTATGTAATAAATAACATTTCACGTAACGTTTATTTACTTGACGTAGAGTATCGTTTATTTCGCATTAGTGCGGTAGCCGCGTTTGTATTTAGAGAAAAGTTACATGATGTAACATAAGACATAAAATACACAGGGAACTATAATCTATCTATAAATATGACCACATAGAGCATGTATTAGTAAATTCTTCGTAAGTACATACGAACTAGAAACTACAATTGACCCGGCTAACGGATTCCATATTCTGTATTTCAAGGGTTAATCTGTTTAATTATGCACGTGAGTCATCTAGACTAACCAGGGAAATGTTATATTACATCTGTCAAGTAGTGTATGATATATTGTTGCACGAAGAAAACAATCATTACGCTACGATTACCTAAGTTTTATCAACACAAAGATGAATTGACAATATTTTAAACTGATATCTCCAAGTGTTTCTGGTTGCAACGTTGTGGTAGGAGGATATGATCACCTTGTAGTTATATATCATTAAAGTGACGGGATAGTCGTAAAAGTAGTTAATTCTCAAAGCGTCAGCGTGGTATATCAGTATTTCATTGTAGTATCTCTGCGAGTTCCTGAACGTGGAAGTTAAAGACTATCTCTCGATACAAGTCGGAAGAAATCGGGTTCACTCGATTTTGCGCAAAATTTTGTTTCAAGTGTCAAATTTAAATAGAAAAAAAACCTACATTAATTAAGCTGCACAATTATGGGATTATTGTCCGAAGGAAGCCCTTTAAGCTGGGAAGAAACGAAAAATCTCGCTGATCATGTACGAAAGCATGGAATTATTCAATTTATTAACCTATACAAAAGGCTCAGGGATCGCCAGGGTGATATACTCAAATGGGGTGATGAGGTAATATTTATTTTTTAACTTTTCTAAATTATGTGACATTCATCAACATATATCGCAATGTCATGCAATGATATACATGTTGGAAAATTAGAAAATACATTGTCTTCTTTTCACATAATTTTCATATGGAATAATAGAAACAAGAAATTGTGTAATATTTTCTATTATGAACACACGTTAATTTCTAAAGAAGAAAAATCTTAGTTTGATAAATTATTACTTTCAGTTTTTAATATATTGGGATAATTATAATTATTTCATGTACAATTATAAAACTGTAGTTTAATAAAAAAATTGAATTGAAATCTTAATTTATTATCTAATTGTTATTTGTGTATTATTTTTATTTGTTCGAATTTTTATAACTTTCTTATAAAATTAATTATTAGGAAAATAATGAATAAATGTTACAACAGTTGTAGTTATTGAACTATTGCAAGGTATGACCTTGAGTTTTCTCCAATTGCATTCCAGTTCAAATCTATGAGTCAACACTTTTTGCTCTAACATTTTATTGATATGTCACTCAACTATGTATTACAAAACTGACATATTTCTTAAGCTTACTCTTATCACTGGCTATTTTTATATATAAATGATATTAAATGTTCTAAATAGGTTGAATATATGCTTGTTAAATTTGATGATGAAGCAAAAACTGCAAAACTTAGTTTAAGAGCTGCAGAAATATTAAAAACTTTAAATGAAAAAGAATATAACGATCCAGAGTAAGTACTTTACCTTTTTTGTTTTTTTTTAGCTTTATGTTTATACCAATTACACATGCCAAAGAAATATATTTGAAATCAACTATATTGAAATAATACGATGGCTAATATTTCAGCAATATTTTTAATGAAACAGTATGATACATTTAAATACTTTGTTTCACAGCAATATTAAATCATTATGGAGACCTGAATATGGTGCTTATATGTTAGAAGGAACACCAGGAAAACCATATGGTGGCTTATTAGTTCATTTTAATGTTGTTGAGGCTAATATGAAGTACAGGAGACAAGAAGCTTCAAAATTATTGGAACCCAATGAAGTTTTAATGTCTTTAACTAATTTTCCTAGGTACGTAAGTATTTCTATCATAATTTTTTACACTTGATATATATGAAGAATATTAGCTTAAATATTCTCTTACAGAACAGGAGCACACGATTTCACAGATCCTCCTACACATCCTACTCCAAATTCTGGATCCTCGAAAAGTTTATTTTTCCCAGATGAAGCTATATATCCAGGACATCCACGATTTAAAACGTTGACAAGAAATATAAGACAACGGCGAGGAGAAAAGGTTGCTATAAACATTCCTAGTATGTATTTATTGCATTTATTAGTTACAGATGTATATTTTTTTATAAATAAAAAGATTCAGTTAGATCTTAACATAAAGCATTTCTTTGCAGTTTATAAAGATAAAAACGTGCCTTGTCCTTTTAAAGAGGATTTTGGTCCTTTGATTGAAAATGAATCTAGTTGTGCAGGAAAAGAAGATCACATTTACATGGATGCTATGGGTTTTGGAATGGGTTGTTGTTGTTTACAACTTACTTTTCAAGCTTGTAACATAGAAGAAGCAAGGACATTGTATGACCAATTAACACCCTTATGTCCAATAATGGTCAGTAATATATAAAACTGTAATTGTATTTTTATAAGTTCTGAAGGCATGGAGTTGTTAGCATATTCTTTCGCGCATACGTTACAGAACATTTGTTTAACATTCGACAGTTGGCTCTAACTGCTGCTAGTCCATTTTACCGAGGATATATAAGTGACGTTGATTGTCGATGGAACGTGATTTCTTGTTCTGTAGACTGCAGAACGCAAGAGGAACGCGGCTTGAAGCCTCTGAATGAAAACAAATTCAGAATTAGTAAATCTAGATACGATTCTATTGATTCATATCTCAGTGAACA